GGGTACCATATATATATATATATAAAGATATACGTGTATACAAATGTGTATATGTATATGTATTTACCCCTCTCTACATATATTTAACTGTACTTACATGCGCATCTATCTTTGCATTGTCTTTACAGTTGTGTGTATATTTGTATTCTGCTTTATGTACTTGTTCACCTAATTATTTGTTTATCCGTTTATTTACTTACGTATGCATCTACTTGTTTACCTATATTCATAAATAAAAGTATAGATATAGAGATAGAAATGTAGATATAGGGAGGCAGATAGAAATAAACATAAAAATCGAGATAGAGATAGAGATAGAGATAGCGATAGATGTAGACATGGATATAGATAGATGTACGCATAGATAGAGATAGAGATAGAGATAGATATAGCCACAGGAAGTAAATATCGAGATAGATGTAAATATAAGTATAGAAGTATAGATTATAGATATATAGGTATACAGGTGTATAATCATACAGATATTCAGATATATACTATATAAATAAATAGGTATATAGATATCCAGATCTGTAGATATCTAGATATCTAGATGTAAATGTAGCACACCTATGCAATATGTATGCATCTGTGCATGTACGCAAGTAAGGATGCATCTGTAAATGCATGCCTGTGTGCACATGTTCGTATGTGGGCATCCTGTGTATTTGTGTCTGCATGTCTCTGTCTGTCTGTCTCCGTCTCTGTGTGTCTTTTCTTTCACAAAGGTGTGGTGAAGGGCTTGTGGCCCCTCTTGGCGATGCTCCCCGACCACTGCTCTGCTTCTCTCTGCCTCTCTCTGTCTCTGTCTTTGTCTCTGTCTCCGTCTCCGTCTCTGTCTGCCTGCGTGTCTGCCTGCCTGCCTGCCTGATTGTCTGTCTCTCTTTGTCTGTCTGATTCTCTCTGCCTCTCTGTCTCCCTGTCTGTCTGCCGATGTGCTTGCCTAGCTGTATCTTTCTCTGCATGCCTGCCTCCTCGCCTGTCAGCTGCCTGCCTGGTATGCATGCGGCATATCAAGTAAGCGCATTCTGCGCATGTCCCTATGTGACAATGCATAAATACATGTATACACACAAACATACATACAATCACATACGAACTCGAGAAACATGCTGATGCTAGATCTACATTACATACTTATACATCGGCAAGCCCAGGGAATGCTAAAGACTGCCGCACTTGCCGACGCACGCCAAATGTCAAAGCACGGCTCACGCAATTGCTAAAAATGCCAATGCCTGGGTGTGTTGGGTGTTCTTCGATGGTGATTCGACAGCGAAAGTAGGCAGGCGGATGCGGAGTTCAACAGCGGCCCGGCCGACTCGGCTGGGCTCGGCTAGGCTGAACCTTTCTCAACCGTCCCGAACCGTACCGTTCCGAACCCTTCCGACCGGGCCGTCGCGAACCGTCCCGAACCGTTCCGCACCGTCCCGAACCGTCGCCCTTCCGAACCGTCGAGCCGTGCCGTCCCGTCCCGAACCGTTCCGGGACGGTCCCAACCGTTCCTAGTCCCATCCATTCGGGACGGTTCGGGGTTCGGAACGGTTTGGAACGGTTTGGAACGGTACGGTTCGGGACGGTTCGGATCGGGACGGTTCGGGACATGGTTCGGGACGGTTCGGGACGGTTCGGAACGGTTCGAACCGTTCAGAACGGTCACGGTTCGCCAAGGGTCGGAACGGTTCGGGACGGTTCGGAAAACCTCGACAAAATTTGCTAGCAGCCAGCATTCTCGCCTTCGGGCCCTCGATGCATGTTCATCGTTTTGGTCAGCCTTATCTCGTTCATGTTTTGTGGAACTCGCCCTTCCCGTGCCCTGCATGACTTATTTGCTAGCATATGTTTGGAGCCCTATTGACGCGGAATGCTGTCTCCAGAAATCACTCTTCTATGAGCACATGTATCGTCTGCTCTTCCAGACCCAACTTGCTAGAACACTAATCCTTGCAACATGCATGATGCCAAAACAGCACTCCATGTATCATGACCCGTGGAAGCCGGGTTTTGCTTGGAACGCACCATGTCCCTCCCGAAAGGAGTTTCATAGTACATCCCCGCGAAACTGGAAATAAACATGTGTATACATATATACCTATGTATACATATGTGACCATATGTGCGTATGCATACATCTCAAGAATACACGGGGCCGATCATCCCACATGCATGTTGGAAGGTTCCTTTAACCACAAGGCAGTCAGATGCCTCGGCCTGACTTGCCAAGTTCATCTGAAATTGTTGCCGCTGCCTCATGAGTCGGGCTTCAACTACCCTGACCCGGTGGTGGTTTCATAAACTCAGCCGCAGAGCTATCCCTCTTCGAGGTCTGGCAGGCCGTGTGCAGGTCGAAGCGGTGAAACAAGCCACTTCACCCCTGATGAGCAGATGCATGGTCTGTGGCCCAGGCTCAAAAGGTCAACGGGGCGTGCTGTTTGAGCAGCTGCTTGGGCAGTAGCTTGGCAAACCGTTCGGCAAAGTTGCCGAACGTCCATCGCGGCAGCCGCACTGGACTGGGCACATGGAGGCCAGCGGGCGGAACAGCTGCGGGTGGCCGTCACACCAGGAAACCCCTGTCAAGAGCTCGGACGGAACTGTCTCCATGAACTGGCACCCATTAGACAAAAAGCCCCGGGCTGTATCGTTTGCCCGAGCGAAAAGCGTGGTCAGAGCGATGCCATCTCCGTAGTATCCGATGAGCGCGTCTTCATACTGATGCCAGAAGGCTTGCCAACCAGCATCGTCGATGACATCATCGCAGGAGATGGTTTGAAGCTCGACTTCTGCTTCGGACAGGCAGCGCTTGCTACACCCCTGTGCCTCCACCTTGTGCCTCGGAGTTGCGCTGAGAGATGATATGACTACACATTGCACATGCCTCACCCCGTTCGGCAGACAGTTTCCTGCTCGAGCTATATCAGGTTCAGGTTTTCCGACAATGCGTTTAAGGGTGGCCAAGTTACCACGCGGAACTTCGCAGGTCCGTGCAGCCGCAGGTCTCGCCACATGCCACGCGGAGCAGTCGGGCATCTGACATGCTGCACAGGTCGGCCAGCTCTGCACAAGTCGTTGCGTTCGATCGCCCAAGTGATGCAGCTGCATTGCGGACAATGCTCCCCATCACCGGCTGCAGGGCCGGATCCTGGTGGAGCGGGCCGGTCTCCTTCAAGACTGCTGTCTCGACCCAGAAGGGGGATAGCGTGCCCAGATTAGAGGTCGAGCGAGCAATGTCAGTGTTGAAGGCTCGCCGGTTCACTGAGAACATGATTGTCCAAGGCCAGTCCTGCGATTGACTCGAAGGTGTGCTTTTGTGACATAACAGCTTGCTCGATGGGCGACAGCTCATAGGCGTCTCGCACCTTCTCAATGGCCTCGTGATGGGAACATAAAGCCAGTCTATGAACGCTCCGATCTACGTTAAGCTAAACAAAGAAACTGGCTGCGGCTAGATCCGGTCCTCTGTTTCCAAGCCCCATGAGATCTGCGTCTCCGTGCTGTACGCGACCACGAAGTCTCTCTGGCCATCGCACAGCTCGCGTTTGACTGTCATCATGGTTTCGCAGAGAGGCACGAGCAGGAACAGATACGAAGCCAGGACCGTTGCTAGCACCGCAAGGAAATGCACCATGGACTCCACCTGGCTGCGCCGGTGCGAGTACTTAACGCTGATGGGCTCGAGACTTCGTATCGCGTGCTGAATCTTGATAGGCGTCATGCCCTCGAAGAGGAACTCATCCACATCCAAGATGGCGTTCAAAGCAACCGAGTTAAGCATCAGCTCCTCAATGGACGTTGTCCTTGCAAGCCATAGGATTCCGGCAACCAACAGTACGGAGGCGATGCCTGCTCGGATGATGTACGTTTACGTGACCAGCAGCGCCAGGGCACGACCCCAGGACAGGCAGTGAATCGTGTTGTCGCGGAAGTCCGTCGCACTGGCCTCCAACCAACGACCCAAGACAAGGCTTTACAGAAGCTAACTCCCACTGCCTGTTGTAGACCCTCGTGACTTGATGTACATGCAGCCGCGACTGTGTAATGCTCAAGTCGTTTTCACCGATTAAGCATGCTTGCATGAGTGCCTCGTGAAACAAACCGGCCTTGGGGAGGGAAATGGCAGCTTCCAGTGCATGCCAGATCTTCCGGAACTCCTGAAGACTCTTCAAGCCGTGGGCCATGAGTTTTGTGCTCATCGGATGCTTGCAGCATATTGCAGCTTAGACTGCGTTATGATTTATGTCGGTTTGGCAAGATTCGACTGGATGCAGTTAGTTCATGGACGAAGATGAGAGACCCGATGTCCTTGTAGACACACAGGCTCCACAGCAGAATGCACAGCAAGCACAGGAGAGTGCCCGGCTGCCAGAAGTTGAATGCAAATTCGGTTTCCTGCAAGCCCAAGAAATCGTTGATTTGCTCAACAAGCGTGGCCTGGACCGTGGACAGGATTAAGGACCCATCGCCAGCACACACTCGAGAAACCAGGCTCGTTCCGGCCAAGTCCAGGTAACGAGAGTCATGAGCTATACTGGTCCGCCACGTCTTCGCGCTCTGCAAGTTCGTCTCGAACGGATCACCCATGAAGTATTCCGACAACAGAATTTGTGTGAACGACCCTTGCATCAGCAGGTTCAGCAGCACCGGCAGCACTGCAAAGACGTTGTCAAACCAACCCACATCTGCCAGGCCAAGGACCAAAGGGATGTTCCAAGCATTCTCCTCAAAGCGCACGGGCGTTGATCTAGCTTCCATCTCGTCTGCAGAGCAGCTGTCCGGCGATGCAGCTTGCGAGCTTGGATTCTGCGTCTCTGAAACGCCGAGCTGTCTTTCGACGGTCCCCAAGCGTGCCGTGATGCTTTGCATCTCTGCTTCGAACTGCTGACGAAGTTGCTGCAGCCCTTCTTCCACCTCTTGAATGTGGCCTGGGGGCACCTCAATGGCAATGCTCCGGAACTCGGATGCCTCCAAGTTCGGCTCCGCTTCCGGATCAGCAGATAGCTGCCGGTTGCTCCCAGGGCTTGGGATTGCCGGGGTCGGCATTGTGGGCACGTGCCGGAACCTGGGTGCTCCAGAGCCCGTCAACAGTCTCTCGACAGGCGGTGCGCGGCATCCAACATGGCGCGTGCGCTGCGATAATGGATGCTATACATACAGCGAATCGCAAATGAAATCATCGAAGAACACCCCTTAAACCCGTCAAGAACTGCCCTCAGCTTCTCCCGGTCACACACACTGTGAGGTTAAGGGCTTGGGGGCGTGTGTACGCTGTTAGTGTTGCTGGTACGGCTGGCAGCTAGCACTCTCCGCGATTCTCCTAATATCTTGTGGCAAAGCTTCAGCCAAGTCAAGCTGCAGAGCTCAGCCAAAATGAAAACCATCTTCTTACGCCAGTCCTCTCCAGCTTCTCCTTTCCTACTCCTTCAGCCCACGTTCGAGCCCAGACTAGACATACTACACTCAGCACCGGAGCTGAAGAGTTGGAGGCAGCTAGAGCCCTAGAGGGTAAGTCGTGTTATGTAGGACTCATGGTGATCTACTGTGTACTTTCCAGGCAAGGTGTTTGAGTAAGACTCCTGGTGTTGCCCGGCGTAATCCGGCATCACCCCGCCTTCAGTCCTCATGCAGATTGACAGAGGCGGGGAACACATGACATGGAACCATTGAGTGAGCCATTAGGAAAACTGAGCTGGGCGCGGAATTCGTCCGGAAGTTGACTGATTGAATTAGTTTATTTGCAACACGACACGCTCTGAATGCTCTACAATCCGAATTGGGGCGGATTCTCTCTCGTTAATCGAGAACCTGTGCTTGCGAGCTTGGTGAAGCTATGCCCCAACCTAATCACTACGGAGAAACCCCGGAACCCCTTCAAGCAGCATGATATCGCAAAGAGATCGCCAAGCATTTTCTTCGCGGAGGTTGGCAATCCCCAGCCTTAGGCTGGAGGCTGGACGTTCTGAGCGCGTCGACTTCTCAGGCTCAAGGACATCAAACGACGTCAAGAAGACGTGCTGTTTGAGCAGCTGCTTGGGCAGTAGCTCGGCAAACCGTTCGGCAAGGGTGACGCCCGTCCATCCCGGCAACCACACTGGACTGGGCACATGGAGGCCAAAGGGCGGAACAGCTGCGGCTGGCCGTCACACCAGGAAACGCCCGTTAAGAGCTCAGTCGGAAGTGTCTCCATGACAGTGCACCCCTGAGACAGGAAGGTCTCGGCAGTGTAGTTCATTTGTCCGAAAAACTGGGTCCGAGTGACACTTTCGCCATAGAATCCGATAATTGCGTCTTGGTACTGATGCCAGAAGGAGTGCCAACCGCCACCGTGGATAACATCATCGCAAGAGGTGTTTTCAAGCTTGAGTTGTGCTTCGGCCAAGCACGTCTCGGTACATCCTTGAGGCTGCACCTTGTGCCTTAATTGATTAGCTCTGAACCCGAAGCAAGTGCACGTGCAAAACTTGAATGCTTTCAGGTATGACAAAGATTTACCCAAGGCGCCATGCAGAGCTTGCAGGGTCGGTGCAGCCGCAGGTTTGGCCGCAGGTCAAGCGCAGCAGTCGGGCATCTGGCAAACCACAGAGATCAGCGAGCTCCGCGCAGGTCGTGGCGCTCGGTCGTCCCAAGGCTGAAGCGGCATTCCGCAGGAAGTTTTCGGCGATAGGCTGCAAAGCAGGATCTTGATGCAGCTGTCCAGTTTCCAATAAAACTACTGTTTCCATGCAGAATGGGAACTGACTTCCAAGGTTTTCAATCGAGCGAGCAACGTCTACACTGAAAGTTCGTCGATTTCCAAAATAGATTGTCCGAGCCCAGTCTTCCTGAAGACTCGAAGGAGTGCCCTTGAAAGACATTACGGCTCGTTCGATAGGCGAAAGCTCATAAGAAGCTCGCACTGTAGCAAGGTCCTGGTAGACCCAATCAGCACAAGGAGGATGCAGATCCCAAAGCCAAAGCCAAACCAACAGAACCCAAGGCAAGTGGAAGTCTACCTGTGCACCGTCTAACACGCTAAGACAAGTCGAAATGACAGGAGAGGACATGAAAACACAAGGCAAGGTCCTCTGTGCGAAGGCCCCATGAAACCTGCGTCTCCGGGTTGTACGCGACCACGAAGTCTCTCTGGCCAGCGCACAGCTCGCGTTTGACTGTCATCATGGTTTCGCAGAGAGGCACGAGCAGGAACAGGTACGAAGCCAGGACCGTTGCTAGCACCGCAAGGAAATGCACCATGGACTCCACCTGGCTGCGCCGGTGCGAGTACTTAACGCTGATGGGCTCGAGACTTCGTATCGCGTGCTGAATCTTGATAGGCGTCATGCCCTCGAAGAGGAACTCATCCACATCCAAGATGGCGTTCAAAGCAACCGAGTTAAGCATCAGCTCCTCAATGGACGTTGTCCTTGCCAGCCATAGGATTCCGGCAACCAGCAGTACGGAGGCGATGCCTGCTCGGATGATGTACGTGATCAGCAGCGCCAGGGCACGACCCCAGGACAGGCAGTGAATCGTGTTGTCACGGAAGTCCGTCGCACTGGCCTTCAACGAGCTAGCACGAATGTCGAATATTGTGAGGATAACTTTCTGGAAACACAGCAAACCCGGCAACGGCGACACTAGTATGACACTATTGCATCGCCGAACTTTCAGGCAACCAAACGAGGCTGTGAGTTGGCCTTTGGGAGCGTTGTGGTCGCCTCCAGTGCGTGCCAAATCTTCCTCAACTCCTGCCGCACGTGAAGCGAGAGCCCCACTATCTTAAACCACTCAGGTTGCATGTAGTCCTGCGTAGTATCAATCAATCTTTATTTGTAATGTGCTTTTTATGTGATTTGACACGAAACCCCGCTACGTTGGATGCAAAACCTGGTGTCCTTGTAGACGCACAGGCTCCACAGCAAGATGCACAACATGCACAGGAGAGTACCCGGCTGCCAGAAGTTGAATGCAAATTCCGTTTCCTGCAAGCCCAAGAAATCGTTGATTTGCTCAACAAGCGTGGCCTGGACCGTGGACAGGATTAAGGACCCATCGCCAGCACACACTCGAGAAACAAGGCTCGTTCCGGCCAAGTCCAGGTAACGAGAGTCATGAGCTATACTGGTCCGCCACGTCTTCGCGCTCTGCAACTTCGTCTCGAAAGGCTCACCCATAAAGTATTCCGATAACAAAATCTGCGAAAACGACCCCTGCATCAGCAGGTTTAGTAGCACCAGCAGCACTGCAAAGACGTTGTCAAACCAACCCACATCTGCCAGACCAAGGACCAAAGGGATGTTCCACGCACTCTCCTCAAAACGTACAGGCGTTGATCTACCTTCCATCTCGTCTGCAGAGCAGCTGTCCGGCGATGATGCAGCTTGCGAGCTTTGATTCTGCGTCTCTGAAACGCCGAGCTGTCTTTCGACGGTCCCCAACCGAGCCGTGATGCTTTGCATCTCTGCTTCGAACTGCAGGCGAAGTTGCCGCAGCCCATCTTCCACCTCTTGAATGTGGCCTGGGGGCACCCCAATGGCAATGCTCCGTAACTCGGATGCCTCCGAGTTACAGTCCGCGTCGGGGGTCCCGGAGTCTGGGACCAGTGGGATCGGCATTGTGGCAAGTGTTTCAGAATATTTAATAAATTTAATTAATAATACTATATAATACTGAGTATTGAAATATAATGTGCACTGTCAAGGGTTTCAGCTTCTGGAAGCGATACCATGGATCTCGAAGCGCTGCCAGTGCGAGTGAAATCCGTGGAGAATCCTGGCAGAACCTTGCTGTTGAACTGTTCCCGGCGACGGAAACTGTTGCCTGCGTGTTGTTGGCCGTTGATGCTTTTGCTAGTTCTCTGGCTGTCACTCTTCGTGATCTCTTTTATGTTTTTTTGCTTCTGCCGCGTCAGCTGCGGCATTGGATAATCTTGTCTGGCCTAAAACGACAGGCTCAAAACCAAAGGCCTGGAAAAAACACTTCGTTGCGTATATCACCTCGGGTGATTCTCCAGGGAGCGTTTGATTAGGGCCTTAGGGAATCTCAGGGATCTTGTTCTAGGCCCTAGGCGCCATCGTCCGTCCTTGGGCAAGTTGACGGATTGCTGGAGGCCTGGACGTCCGATTTAGGGCTGCATCTCCAACCCATAACTATGCCGGCTCCGAATAATGCATGTCACACCAACCTCCGTAAATCCACATGATATCCCTCAGTGCCATGTCCAAGATTTGCGGGCCTTTTTTCGCGGAGGTTGGCAATCCCCAGCCTTAGGCTGGAGGCTGGACGTTCTGAACGCGACTTGGGTGGACATGGCCCTGGTCGACAGGCACGCGGTCGACTTCTCAGGCTCAAGGACATCAAACGACGTCAAGAAGACGTGCTGTTTGAGCAGCTGCTTGGGCAGTAGCTCGGCAAACCGTTCGGCAAGGGTGACGCCCGTCCATCCCGGCAACCACACTGGACTGGGCACATGGAGGCCAAAGGGCGGAACAGCTGCGGCTGGCCGTCACACCAAGAAACACCTGTCAAGATCTCGGAAGGCAGTGTCTGCAGGACGGGGCACCCATGGGACAAGAAATCCTGGGCGATGCCACTTAGGAGCGCGAAAAACTGGGTACCAACGACGCCCTCTCCATAGTGTCCGATAATGGCGCCTTCGTACTCATGCCAGAACGCATGCCAACCAGCATCGTTGATAACATCATCATCGCAGGACATGGAATGAAGCTTGGCCTGTGCTTCGGCCAGGCACGTGGCGGAACATCCCATAGGCTTCACCTTGTGCCTGGCTTGGTTCAAAGTGGCACAGGAGCTCTACATTCTGAATTATATGCGGCCTTAAAGATATTCAGAAACTGTCAAAAGAAAATCCAAAATAACTCAGGGCGCCATGCAGAGCTTACAGGGTCGGTGCAGCCACAGGTTTGGCCGCAGGTCACACGCAGCAGTCGGGCATCTGGCAAACTGCAGAGATCAGCTAGCTCGGCGCACGTCGTGGCATTCGGTCGTCCCAGAGCTGAAGCAGCGTTACGAAAGAAAAGTTCAACGATTGGCTGCAACGCGGGATCTTGATGCAGCTGTCCGGTTTCCACTAGGACAGTCGTCTCCATGCAGAATGGGAACTGCTCGCCAAGGTTGGTGACCGTGCGAGCAACATCCGTGTTGAAAGTTCGCCTGTTGTCCGAAAAATAGATTGTCCGAGGCCAGTCCTCTTGCAGACTCGAAGGGGTGCCCTTGTAAGCCATTACGGCTCGCTCGATGGGTGAAAGCTCATAAGAAGCTCGCACTGTAGCAACGTCCTCGTGCAAACTGATCGGGAAGGGGGATGCGAGGCTGCAGAATCCAAACCCCAGATGGACCCCAGGGGCAACTGGATTTCTGCTTATGGACACCTTTTAACAGGAGCACGTGAACACCCAGGGTCCTCTGTGTCCATGCCCCATGAAACCTGCGTCTCCGTGTTGTACGCGACCACGAAGTCTCTCTGGCCATCGCACAGCTCGCGTTTGACTGTCATCATGGTTTCACAGAGAGGCACGAGCAGGAACAGATACGAAGCCAGGACCGTTGCTAGCACCGCAAGGAAATGCACCATGGACTCCACCTGGCTGCGCCGGTGCGAGTACTTAACGCTGATGGGCTCGACACTTCGTATCGCGTGCTGGATCTTGATAGGCGTCATGCCCTCGAAGAGGAACTCATCCACATCCAAGATGGCGTTCAAAGCAACCGAGTTAAGCATCAGCTCCTCAATGGACGTTGTCCTTGCCAGCCATAGGATTCCGGCAACCAGCAGTACGGAGGCGATGCCTGCTCTGATGATGTACGTGATCAGCAGCGCCAGGGCACGACCCCAGGACAGGCAGTGAATCGTGTTGTCGCGGAAGTCCGTCGCGCTGGCCTCCAACGAACAACCAGGGGCTGGCAAGGTCTTGCATACAGATCCACGATGTGAGCTATTTCCGGAAACAACACTCGGTGTGCGGATGTTCAAATAAGTGCAGTACATGGTACAACTTACCAAATGATCGACAAAAGAGCTGGCCTTTGGAATCGTAGTGGCCGCCTCCAACGCATGCCAAATTTTTCGGAATTCCTGCCATCGACGGGAACTGCAAGTCGGACTGCATCGGAATAATTAAAAACCGCATGTAATTCGGAGTTTAGTCATAAATTTGTACATCTGCGACGGGATCTCTATGTGCTCTGACACAAACGCTTCACTTGGATGCGCAACCCGGTGTCCTTGTAGACGCACAGGCTCCACAGCAAGATGCACAACATGCACAGAAGGGTGCCCGGTTGCCAGAAGTTGAAGTCAAATTCAGTCGCTTGCAAGCCCAGGAAGTCGTTAATTTGTTCGATTAGCGTGGCCTGGACCGTGGACAGGATTAAGGACCCATCGCCAGCACACACGCGAGAAACAAGGCTCGTTCCGGCCAAGTCCAGGTAACGAGAGTCATGGGCTATACTGGTTCGCCAATCAATTGCACTTTGCACTCTTGTCTCGAACGGCTCACCCATGAAGTACTCGGATAACAGAATCTGTGTAAACGATCCCTGCATCAGCAGGTTCAGCAGCACCAGCAGCACTGCAAAGACGTTGTCAAACCAACCCACATCTGCAAGACCGAGGACCAAAGGGATGTTCCACGCGCTCTCCTCAAAATGCACAGGAGTAGATCTGTCTTCCGCATTCACCGTCTCGACCCTTTCAGCACTGCTGTTCGGAGATCTGTTTTGGAAGTTCGGACTGGGCATCTCCGAAACGCCGAGCTGCTTTTCGACACTCCCCAAGCGAGCCGTGATGCTTTGCATCTCTGCTTCGAATTGCTGACGAAGTCTCTGCAGCCCTTCTTCCACCTCTTGAATGTGGCCTCGGGGCACCTCGATTGCAATGCTCCGGAACTCGGCTGCCTCTAGGTTCGACTCCTCTTCCGTCTCCTCTGCAAGATGTTTGTTGCTGGCGGAGCTTGGGATGGAAGGGGTCGGCATCGCAGCTGCTGGCTGAAAATTGCCTGCCTGCGTGCCTCACACCCGGTAGTGTCTGCTTGAGCAAATGGCTGCCTGCGTGTCTGCTTAAACACGCACCTTTGCATACTAAGCAATTAACCACTTGAATCGGGCAGTGCACAAAGCTACGATGCCGGAATTCTGCTGCGTTGGCTTTGGTGACACTAAGAACCCAAGCTTCTAAACCCAAGTGGTGAGAGGAGTTCAAGTCGAAAACCCTCGAGCAAGTTTCGGAGGCCTACAGAATCCCCAGTGGAGTGAATTCAAACTACCCAGCCAGCAAAGCCATCTTTTGTTCATCAGAGCAAGGCTCGCATCTCTCGCCGTGGTCGCCAGCCTGCAGCGCAGATCACCACACCGCCACCATCACCACCACCACTGCAAAAGAGAGCATCTGCTGGCTAACGACAACGTGAACAACAGCCCTTCGTATGAAGGCCCTCGTGTGCCTCAGCTGGAGCTGGCGGGGTCGTCCTGTGAAGCAGACGTGTGTGAGGACGCAGGGCTTAGAAGATCGGATAATCTTTCCGGTTTGTTTCAAGGGTTTTGGGGGCCCGTCACGGGGTTTAGGAGCTTCGGTGCCCATGTCATGTCTGAGCACGCAGACCTCTGGACGACCTGGAAGGTCCAGCCTCTGAACGTTTGTTCCTCTGCAGGAAACTCGCGACATATCGATGGCCGACTGGAAGGAATGGAAGGGTGCATTGTATCTGAATTCTCCCATGGCCATGTACTTTGATTTCGACCCTCACTCTCGCATGTACTTTGATTTGGTTCTGCAGGACATGCAGTCTGTTTCGAGCTTTTTTCAAGGTCGGGAGCAGTGCCGCAATAACCCCTTCTTTGACGTCATCTTGCCACTTTCTCAGGATGTTGCCCTCCCTCGTTCTTTGCCACGGCGCTCAAAGAAGGTCATGTGCTGCAGCTCCCATCTGTGCCCTACAGCCGTTCCTTCTCGTCCTTCTTCATGAAGCCGTCCAGGTGTCCGGACATGCGGCCCTGGCTTGGACGTGGGATTGGCACTGATCTTTGAGACGCTAAACACACAGAGGACACGGACGAACAGTTTGTGTTGCCGGCGAATATGGAAAAACTCAAGAACTTACCACCGTCGTCGTAGAAGCAGTAGTAATTAGTAATGGTAGTAGTCCGCCACCGCCGCGGTGTAGTAATGGCGGTCGCCGTCGCAATAGTGCGGAAGCAACAGTGTCGTGTTCTTTGCCGGCTCCAGTAGCAGTCGTCGTCGTAGTAAGTGGTAGTAGTAGTAGTAGTAGTAGTAGTAGTAGTAGTAGTAGTGATAGTAGTGATAGTAGTGATAGAGTGTTAGTAGTAGTAGTAGTAGTAGTAGTAGTAGCAGTAGCAGCAAGAGCAGCAGGAGCAGCAGGAGTAGTAGTAGTAGTAGTAGTTAGTAGTAGTACTGTAGTAGTAGTAGTAGTAGTAGTAGTAGTAGCAGTAGCAGCAAGAGCAGCAGGAGCAGCAGGAGTAGTAGTAGTAGTTAGTAGTAGTACTGTAGTAGTAGTAGTAGTAGTAGTAGTAGAAGTAGTAGCAGAAGTAGTAGTAGCAGTAGCAGCAGCAGCAGCAGAAGCAGTAGTAGTTGTTGTTGTAGTAGTCGTCGTCGTCGTAGTGAGCAGCAGCCGCAGCAGTGGCAGAAGCTGTCGTCGTCGCAGTAGCAGCAGCGGTAGTAGTAGTACAGTAGCAGTAGCAGTAGTAGCAGTAGTAGTATTTTTAGTAGTAGTACAAGTACAAGTAGTAGTAGTAGTAGTAGTAGTAGTAGTTGGAGGAGTAGTAGTAGTAGTAGTCCTACTGCTACTGCTACTGCTACTACTACTGCTACTACTACTACTACTACTACTACTAGTAGCAGCAGCAGCAGCAGTAGCAGTAGCAGTAGCAGTAGCAGTAGCAGTAGCAGTAGCAGTAGCAGTAGCAG